GGGGATGGTTCCTTCCTGCTGAAACTCTTTCTCAATAAAAGGTCTCCAACTCTACGAAACAATGCTCTTTTCCTTCTATGTGAAATCCTTTCATTATCCGATTCATCGATATGATGGTGAATGTCAGCACTGCTATTTTCAGCATCTTCTGCGCTCGGCGATCCTTCTGCGTCTGTGAACGCGGTCGACTTGCGTCGGTGATGCGTCGTGTGTCGCTGTGGAGTCCGCGGCTCTGACTTGGGTGAGAATGGTGTGTCGAAGATGGACCCTTTAAGCGCCTCTAGCTTCTCGGGGTCCTCGTGTTCAATCCGCGAATGCGCATCTTCGTCCTCGTCCTTGAGCAACGACAGCTCGCTGAGGCCGAAACTGAACTTTCTCACCACAGGGTGGTAGTCTTCATCCTCCTCTTCGTCTCTTGGATCTGACCCGTTGGTCATTTGCAAATGGTCGTCATCCTCATCGTCTTCGTCCTCGGGTGAGGCCTCCTTTTCCTCAGCTTTGAGCTCTCGGGAGACGTAGGAGAGCATTAGTTTGAACTGCTTGACGTTCTCATTGGCTGCGGCCTCGTTAATCCTGAGACGTTCATTCTCCCGGGATAGGAAGTGTAGCGATTCGTCCTTCTCGGACAAGAGATCTTTGAGTTGGGAGTTTTCGGCCCGGGCTATGTCAGCAGCAGATTTAGCAACATTGGCTTCGTTGATGGCCTGTTTCAATATATCCCTCAACTTGTAGCTCTCTTCCCTGGCTGCTCTTAAGGCCTCAGCTAGCTTATTGGCTTCATGTTGGGCGACCGCGCGCTCTTCTTCTGCCCTTTTGATGCAAGTCACAAACCCCATCTCTTTCCCGTTCCAGGCGAAAATGGACTCCTCTGCCTCTAACCTCAACCTCTCCACTGTATTCCTATGCATCTCGGTTTCTTTCCTGGCATCTTCTAAGAGCTTCTCGTACCTCTCCTCGCTGCCTCGCACCATCTCTTTAAGCTTTTGGGCTTCTTCTTTGACTTGGTCGAGTTCAAGCTGAGTCCCGGAAAGCTTGTCCCGAGCCTCAGCGGACTCGGTCGCGACTTCCTTTAAGGCTAACGCCAAATCGTCCATCGCCTTTCTGCTTTTCTCCTCCGCGTCCGTTGCCAGCTTCACTTCGTTCTTCAGTGAGTTCAGCTCTTCGATCAAACTGGTGACCTTCAACAATGCGGCTTCCTCACTTTCTTGCGAGACAGAAAGTCTATGCCTTAGAATTTCAACTTCAGGATCATTCTGTTTGTGTTCATAGCATTGGATGTTGTCCTCTTTGGCTCTTTGAAGCTCAGATTTTATAGTTTTGAGCTCGTGTTTGATATCCTGAAGTTGTTCGAGGGCTCGGTCCCGTTGCTCCTCAGCGAAGCCGAGTTGATCTCTGAGCTCATCCTCCAGCTCCCCCATTTTTTGCCCTTGCATTACTCCTTCAATCTAATTCGGCATAAATATATGTACAGCTGAAAAATAGGGGGAGGTTAGGCATAAAAATCATAATCAACTTTATAAATGATTTTGATGTGTTCAAAATTATAACAGGCTGCACAAATGAAAGATATTGAGGCGAAATTGATCATTCTTTGGGGGCTCATTCTTCTATTTCAAACCATATTTAATCATAGAAAATATATATCTCCGAATTTAATAACTAAGTAAGCATCGATAAAAATGTGTCATGCATACACGAGAATGAGAAGTCGATGATAATGTATTATATACCAGCGGGCAGCGTTGGAAGAGAAAAAGAAGAAGAAGATGTTAGGTTATTGATGAGGTCCTTCCTGCAACGCACGAAGAAGGTTGGTTGGACGCAGAAGGGCGGCCGGGGAATGTCTGCTCTGATCTCTGTCAAAATGAAGCGACAAAGATCCGGACTTCCCCAATTCGATTGGTTTTATTTGAATAATAACAAAAACTGAAAGCTAGGGGGGAAGCTGGAGTTATTCGTTCTATGTGTTTCAGGAATGTGAAGGAAGAAGAGAGAATCGTGTATGGTTAGTTAAGGACTTGTGGTTGGTTGGTTAGTTGGTTGGTTAAAGAGAAGATTTCGCGCTAACTCCCACCTTTAGCCGTACGTACTATCATTCCCTACCAATTTGAAACCTCCGTATTTCACTTTTAACCTATTCTAAATACAAGTGCCTCTCTTTTTTAATAAATAAATAATTCTATATTCAATTCATAGTTTATCCCACCTTATTGAAATCTACAAATTCACCATTCCAATTTTACTTACTGCTTCGTTGACAACCGTAAATAGGGATGTTTTAGAATTTTTATCTCACGTTTTTTAATGTATGTGCCTAAAAGTTTTTTACCTTTTGTTTTGAGGATAGTAAACCACTAATAGGTGTAGGTCCTTCAATTCCAATTTCAAATAGGACAAGCGGAATAAAAGGATCTTAGCTCTACAATTTGACACCAATAGATTATGTTTAGACTATGTTTAGAACTATGAGCTGCAGTTGAAGGCTGACGTCTAAGTTAGAAACTATTGTCTCGAAATGAATTTCAAAGTGATGAATGAAGTAGTGTCATTTAGTATAATGAGCTGAAAAACATCAAATTGCATAAATCAAAATATTGATTGTAATGATCTTTTATACTTCGTTGACTTACTTTGACAACATCAAATATTAATCTTCTGTTCACTTTTCGGCATAGACAGTTTCCTTTAATGGTTAGCTATGCAATGACCAATATTAAAAGTAGTCAATGGAAAATGTTGACATCTTCCTCCATCGTCCTATTTTTACGCATGAACATTTGTGCGTTGCAATTTCGAGAATAGCAAATCCATCTAGGTTAAGTTCGATATATGTGACGAAAAAGGGCAACCAACGAAGTCAGCATTGAATGTTGCATTCATAGAAACCTTATGATAATATGCAGTTTCCCTTGGCGGTTTGGTTTATATGTATACCTTACATGTATATCTATTTTATTTTATGACATCATGGTTTATATTTAACTTGGAGCATTATTTTAAATTTTCTATGACTACTTATTTTATTTTATGTTTTCAGTTAAGTGATTCATTGTGAATTTTTTATACTTTATTTATAATTTATTTAAACTTTTAAGTACATATTTCACTATCGTGCAATGTACCAGTGGAGTAACTAGTAAGTTTGAATATGATAAAATGCGTACATATATGTATATCATTGGTCTAAGAATCTGGTAAGGCTAGCCAGCGCCTAGGTACATGGCAGTGATCGGACACCACTACGGACCAAATAGCAACTCTTTCACATCATCGGTAGTAGAATACATCATTTTTCATCAACAGAACACCTCTTGGATCTTTTTATATAATCTCGGTATTTCAGCATCGCCCAAACACCTCTTGGATCAATAGCAAAGCTTTGATCCAGAAAACCGAGCTATTGGGGGCAAAAAAAACGCAGGCATGAAAAAATACAATCAAATGAAGTACACCCGAATTTCATAACTAAATGAAGTATATTATCACAATATAAAAAAATCCTAGAAAGTGTAATTAATTCTTTGATAACTAATGTACTCTTTTTTCTCTTATATATCTTCAACCTTCTCCTAGAGTGATAGCTCTGTAAAAGTTATACGGAGTATTTTGTCTTTCTTAATTTGTCTCTTTATATTTAATATATCTTAAACATTCTCTAATGGTGATAGCTATGTAAAAAATATATTTTAAATCGTAATACTAGTTATAGGTAATTGCAAATTTAGATTTTTAATTTTAACAATTTAATAGAAATACACGACAACACTTTTTAACACATACAAATTATACAATAAACAATACTCAATAGTCAAATTACTCAAAACAGAGTAGTTAATACTCAATAGTGCACTTAAGACTTCCCTTTTAACCAAAACTCGATTATTATTTTAGGCCCATTGGGCTGAAGTATACGAGCATATTACTTTACTTTGGGCCGACTGGTTATTGATGGACTAGGTAACCGGCCCGGAACCGGCCCGGCCCGGCCACTGTAGCAACCGGCCCGGCCCGGTCCAACGGCGGTTCGGGTCGAACTGGCCCGGGCCCTGCATTTGGTGAACCGGCCCGGCCGGTACGGGCCCGGTGCGGGCCGGATTTTTTTTTTTTTTTTTGATTTTTTTTTTAGTTTTGGGTTGAATTAGGTATTTTGGGCCATTTGAGGTGGTTTGGGGTGGTTTGGGGTTGAGGGGGAGGGATAGGGGGTTAAATAAGAGAAGCAAAAAAAAAAAAATATGACCCGAGTGGCCCAGCCCGGAACCAGCCCGGTCTGGCCCGGAACCGGGAGCCACCGGTTCGGGTCCGGGCCCTCCATTTGGTGAACCGAGGCCCGGCCGGTTCAAGGTCCGAACCGGGCCCGGCCTGAACCGAGTCCACCCATACTTTTGCAGCGTGAAACAAATTAAGGTTATGTAACCCACTCATTTTATTAGAAATAATGGCAGAGCACAACTATTGGTGGACCGGTTACGGGCCGAACAGCCCATGGCCCAGCACTGTTTGGAACCGGTCCGGCCCGGTGGCCCGGCCAGACACCGGTCCAAGTAGCCCCAGCCCGGGGGTTACACAAGGCAATCGGGTCAACCAAAATAGGAACTGGCCCAACCGGGGCCGGTTCAGGCCTATTTTTTTTGTTTTTTGTTTTTCCAATTCATTTTGTTTTTCCCAGGTTGGGCGGGGTGTTGGGGGGGTTCAGGGGTGGGGGTGGGGAGGGTCGGGGTTAATTAGAAAAGCAAAAAAATGAAGAAGCCCAGGGACAAGCCCGGAGCCCGGCCCGGTCCATGCCTAAGCAAAACCATATGCTAATGTGTTCTCAAGTTGTCGACCGTCACAAACTAAATAACATAATCACTGAGCAACATTAAAAGTTGTTCAACACCAGGGGTGTGACAAAAAACATTACACATTATAGTTCACAAAATAATCTTTTGCATCAACACACCGCCGAAGCATAACAGCTGGGCATACAGCAAAGCTACTAAAAGCTTCAGCAGCTACTAAAATCTAGAATAGAAGAGACAGACAACAGTTAATACAGCATAGAGATAAAGATCATTGTTTAAGCACGTTCACCCCTAATCCTCCTAGCAAGCTGGATGTCCTTGGGCATTATGGTCACACGCTTGGCATGAATGGCACACAGGTTAGTGTCCTCAAACAGACCTACCAGGTACGCCTCTGCAGCCTCCTGGAGGGCAAGGACCGCATGACTTTGGAAACGTAGATCAGTCTGCAAAACCCAAAAGAGAGAACAGAGCATTATTCCTTGTTTGGTGGGCGATTTCTCAAGTAAGAGATGTTATGTCAAATACATTCTCTAAAACAAAAACTTGACTAATTAATCTAATCCTCTTAAATTCAAAAACATTCAAAGAAGAACTCAAAACTACCCTCTACTTTTACGACAAAGGTTTATTATTTCCTGAAAACATGAAACTTTCCAAAACAAGGGACTGCTAAAACTATAACCAGACAAAGGTTTATTATTTCCTGAAAACATGAAACTTTCAAAAACAAGGGACTGCTAAAACTATAACCAAACAATGATAAGATTTCCTTCCATACAAAATACCACAACCAGAACAAGCAACTAACGCTGATGAGGATTAATAGATTCCAATACACATTATATCTAGCAAAAAGACAGTTTTGATGTTTTGCGCTACCTTGAAATCTTGGGCAATCTCCCTGACAAGCCTCTGGAAAGGAAGCTTCCTGATCAGGAGTTCAGTACTCTTCTGGTACTTTCGGATTTCACTATCAGTTTACAAAATTTTAGTTTAGTAATAGTGGATAATGATAACAAGATAAAAACAGATGGAAAATTCTGAGTATAAGAGTAGCCTCACAGACAAAAAGGTCTCTCACAGGGTAAGAATAAAGTACCGATGAGCAATGGGTATAAGTGGCAAAGTTGAAAACAGATAGATTACAATCAGGGCAGTGCATTCACTCACCGAAGTGCAACAGTACCAGGGCGATATCTGTGGGGTTTCTTCACTCCGCCTGTTGTTGGTGCAGACTTCCTGGCAGCCTGCAGATATCAACCCATCATACGCTACGATATAAGTTTCAATAAAATAAGCAAACACAAAATTGAAAATGAAAAATTGTTTAGAAGAGAGAGACCTTGGTTGCAAGTTGCTTCCTTGGAGCCTTTCCTCCAGTTGACTTACGAGCAGTTTGTTTCGTACGAGCCATCTGCGCATCCATATCAAGAATGTGACATCAAACATTAGATAAGAGATAGATCAATAATCCGTATTCGAAAAAAGTTCATGGAACCATGTCCTAAAACCAAAAGTTTAGACAAAAATTCTTCTTCCTGCTCAATGAGAGAGAATTCACCAATCGATTTTCGATGAGATTTAAAATGGTTTAGTGTACGGTTATTTGAAAGAAAATACTGTGATAGAAGCAAATACTAATGAACTGGGAGCATAGAAATTTTGGAGATGCGACGAGAAACCCTAATCGTATAATTGCTCGGACAAAACCGCAAATTCACATCAGTAATTGCTCTATTTAAAGGTCAAGCCCATACATATGAGATCAAGTTCAGGATGAGAATAATATTCGTATTGTAAAGCAAGATGCCACTAGGATTTGAACAAACCTCGGAAGGATACGAAGAACAGGCCTATAAGATAGAGACGGACAAATGCGAAAGTTTCATCTGTTAACAGATCGAAGGAGATTTATAAGATTGAGGAATGCATCGGTTGATAGAACTGGACGGTCCAGATTCCCTATCCGTGTGTTTCTCAAAACCTGAATCTTGCGGTTAGGAAATGGACGGAATGTGTGTTTTCTTGTGACAAGGACGGTTAGGATTTAAAGTAGGTATCACCAGCCGGATCACAGGCTTAAACTCTTGATGAATCCCATTGGCGGAAGACAAATATATTGGTTTAACCAAAGCTGGATCTTTTTAATTAGACTTTAATTAAAACAATTTGAAAATTCCCCAAATAGAACTAAAACAATTTGAAAATTCTAAAATAGGACTGTCATGTTTTTATTCCCAAAATAAGAATATTTACTGTCAAGTTTGAAAAATACTACTATGTTTGAAGTTTGGTGATGCCAAAACATGACAGTAATTAGTTCTATTTTGGGAATAAAAATATGGCAGTCCTATTTTGGAATTTTCAAACCTTTTTAGTCCTATTTCGGGTAATATTTTCTATAAAATACACAAATACCAAACATTTATTAGAACCATTCAAACCAAATCATAACCAACCGGACTAAAACAGATCAAATCAGAACAAACCCGATAAAAGAAAATCAATTCAATTAAAAACATCCTTACTCTAGTCTGATAAATATCTATTGTAAGACTAATGTATGAGTAAACTTTGTATAGTGACTAGGCTCGCCGCTTCGCAACCCCTTACCCCAGAAAATCCAACTTTGGTTTGACCCTACGGGTTAGTATACACTGCTTGACCCTACCACTTGAAGGGGTTTTTTGGGGAGGCTTAGTTCCACTGCACATAGTGAGAATCGAACACGAGACCTCTCCTCTAGAATGGTACCTCCACAACCAACTAAGATCACCTAGTAGAAAGGGTGTGTGCCACAAGGGAGATGTGTCGAGTTTAACTTCAATCAATAACTTGGGATGAAACATCACTCTCTTTTCATTAGGGTGAGATCAAAAGAACTATGTGAAAAAGCCCAGAAGAGCACACTTCTTCTCCTGTAAAAAGAACTACCTTTTTCATTATATCATATAATGAAAAAGGTAGAAAAATGGAGTTCAAAATTCATGCTGATTCTTGGAGGCAAAACTTTCAATCTAGACATTCAATTAGTTTTAATGGGGCCAATGCAAATTAGAAATGATTGCAAGGGCATAGCTTTGAGCTATTGAAATAAAGGTGAATCTCTTGAATATTTGTCTCATTAAAGTAGACGTGATTATTTGTTTGTCTCGTTAAAGTAGACGTGATTATTTGTTGACTGTCAGATTTGCTTATCTCAGACTCATCAGAAACTTTAGCGCATTTGTTCTTACACATTGATGAGTTAGAGACATCCATTGTTGATTGTTGAATGTTGACCGTAGACGTGAGGCTGATTGAAATTTTCTGCAAATTACTGGACCTTGAAATGTAGCTTGGAGTTTGAGAAAAATAGTTTTACTCTTGATTTTTTTTAATCTCAAGGTTGACTCTTGGAACCTTTGATTGTAGTGTGGACTTTTGGTGTTGGAGTTTTGGACTTTGAAGTTTGAAGTGGCTCAAAAACTAGCTCTTAAAGAAGGTAGATGGAAAAAATGCTCTTCTCAAGTATAGGAGAAAAAGGAATCTTTTAAACTTTCTCACACCTAAATTCCTTGGGAACTTTTGAGCCAATAAATATGAACCACTCTTCACTGAGTATTAAAAGGTGAATGCGAAGAGGGGAGCTCTCGCGCACACAAGAATTCCGGCTTCTAGTTCAGAATCGAAAATTCGCACCCCCTGCGCGGGCGACCTGCGGACACGATAGGCGTAAAATTCAGCGGGTCTCAAAAGACAATTTTGCCCCTCTTTTTTTTATAGCTTAATCCGGTTTTTTAATTTATGGGTAAGTCGCCAAACCGTTGGGCGACTTATAAGTCGCCATCCGGTTGGGCGACTTATAAGTCGCCAAACGGTTTGGCGACTTACCCAACCAGGGTTAAGCCCAGCAGTATATCCGTAAATACTTTTAACCCAATCCTATTTTCGTAAATACTTAATTAATTAGCATTAATACCTTAAAAAAACTCTACGACTGACGACTGACGAGCCTCTGGAAAAGAAACTTCATGATACAGAGTTAGGGAAAAAATTAAAAAACGTTTTAATTTTTGGGATTAATTTTAGTAACAATGCGGTTACTTAAAAGGGAAAGTAACAAATTTAGTTAAACAACCAAAAATGTAAAATTGACAAAGTTTTAAGGGACATAGGGAATATCTTTTTTATTTATACTCTGATTGTTACAAAATATATATATAAAAATTCACAACTTTTTATTATCTTTCATATGCCACCAGTATTGCATTTTTTTGGAAGAACCAATATTGCATATATAAAACTTGATTCTATTAATTATTTTTCAATGTAGGATCGTTTTCTACAGTGCACACATAGGGCTGATACCTTAACATAAAACTGCACAAACTTCATCACTTTTATTTATTGTTTTATTCTTTGCGATAGAATTTGTGAAGTTTTATTCTAAGCTATCACTCCAAGTAATAGTTGGATAAGGTAAATTTGTTTAGAAAGAAGAATAAAAAATGCACTGATAATATGGTCTGACCAGATCAGACCATATCTGATCATAACAGACAAATCAAACAAAAAAAATCGGTTCAATTAAAAGCGTTTTAATGGAGTCTTTCCTAAAATTTAGAACTCTATATATTATCATTCATACTCCGTATCATATTAGTTTCAAAATGACAATTTATACACTATTTATGTACTCTATTCTAACTATATTTATTTATTAATGTATGTGAATTTTTTTTTTTTGAAAAATATTGTTGAATTCGTTTCATTATCAAGGTCCATAGTCTGTATTTAATTTCAATTTTACTCATGCAAAATTAAATATAATGACGGTCAAAGGTGTGCGTTAATTAGCAAACATGAAAAATTTAATGTTGCAACTAAAAAGGAACAGATGAAGTATATTAAATTAGAATTCAATAAATCTCCCGAAAGTATTTATGAGTAAAATTTGGATTTAATGACATTATCTTACTATGGAGTTATATAATCACTATCAAACAAAAGTGAGATGGATGTACAAAAATTCAATTAGCTTATTATGACATTAACCATTCATATTTTAAAAGTATCCATGAACAAATTTTTATTTGTCACTAAAGGTTGAGATGATGACACATGATTGTTTTGATAACGATCTATTTGAGAAAACAATCTTAAAATCATTTCAAGAGTATGAATTTTATCCATGCACCGATTTCCAGGGTCGGTCCTCTATGTTTGAAGGCCTAGGGACGAATAATTAAAATGGGCTTAATATTAAAAAATTATAAAATCATTTTGTCTAAACAAACATGCATAATAAAAATAATATTTCAATACATTTATTAAAAAAAATTAAAACTCTCTTCTTTTTAAATCAAAAATATTATAGTATTGATTGTTCTTATTCAGGAAAGAAATAATGGTGATTCTATTTGTGCATTTTTTTTGAAAGGCCTATTTATGCACTTTGCCCATGTTTTCGTCCTATTTTAAAGAATTAACTCGATTATTACCAACTCCTAAATTTCTCCCTCCAATAATGTGATCACCCTGAGTCATTTCATTTTGAGTTAAATCATTCTTCTTTTCTTAGTTCTCATCTTGAGGAGGACATTGATAATTTGACTTCTTTATACAAACTTTTCCATTGAACTTTTTTTACTCGGGACCCCTTTCTCTAATCACCTCCTCTCTTTTTTCTTTATCCTATCCAGGTTCAATCATTTCCATTATACCTTGAAATTAATCAAATTAATAAATTTATTTATAATTAAAACTTTTTGTCTAACAAAATAACAAGTTATAACAACACTTAATAGATAACAATCAACAATTATGAAATCAACCAATCAAGTATGAATGAAATCAATTAATAAACTAATCAAACAATCGTATCTGAGAAATCTGCTTCCATGGTTTTTTTTACGAAATGTTGTGAGCAGTATTAGCCTATTAGGTCACCTTACCTTAAAAAATACTATTGTATATCTTACGAATGAGTATAGTACATGATTTAGTGCACAAAAATGACCGTCTTCTTAAGGATGTTTTCTTTTGGAATGGAATTTGCTAGTCTGGTCTGTCTGATTTGGTTTGATCTGGTCTGGCCTGGTCTGATGTTGTCCGGTCTGATAGATGTCTGGTTTCTGTATATTTTATAACTTTCGAAGTCTGGTCTGGTCTCTATAAGTTTGATGTGGCCAGGACTCAAAACCGTCCCAAAAAAATCCTAAAAACATGAATTACCTCGTATTAGATGAAGAGAAAACCGTATTTTTAGTCCTTGATATAGTCACCATATTGAAATGTTAGACCCGTAATTCTGAGATGATAAATGTCACCCCTCAATTATCCAAATTGATGTAATTGTGATCCTTTGAGGGGTGAAAATCGTACTTCTCGCCCACATTTCACCTCTCAAAAGACCACATTTACAACAATTTGGACAATTGAGGGGTGACATTTACAAACTTGGGAACACGGGTCTGACATTTCAATATGCCGACTATTTGAGGAACTAAAAATGCGATTATTTCCTAACTAAAATAATAATAATAATAATATGATAGTATTATAGTAATAATAATAATAATCTTTTTTGAGAGGCTAATAATAATTATTATTATTATATACCACGTATGGTTTTACTCTTTAAAAAGACATAAATTTCAAACTCCAAAAGAAACTATACACCTACCACCGATGATATGATACAAGTGTGTCACGGCAACATTCACAAAAATTATTTTTGTCAAATACAAGTGTGTCCTCTTTTGGTCTAGCTGAAAGGAGAGATTATATATTTATATGAATTACGTAATAATGTAATATTTAGGGATTACTTTGTAATTCTCCATAATTCTGTTTTATTATAAATACAAGCCTAAGGCACCCAAGAGGGCAAGCCATTATTTCCCAAAATTATTCTTTCGTATATGGTATCAGTCGCCTAGGTTATTTTTTTTCCTCTCTCCTTATGACCGGCGCTCAAACCAACGCCGCCTCCACCAGCTCGGCATCATTCTCTACCGATCAACTGATCTCCATCGGCATCATGGCATCCCAGGCGCCGTCGACGGTGCTGCCTTCCTCCCATGCGCCCTCGATCGTGCAGCTCTCTTCCTCTTCGTTAGACAGCGGCTCTAGCAGTGTCATATTTTCGAGCCCGTATGCTTCCTCAACGATCCAAGCTGCGCAGACCATCCGCTCTCCGCTTGCAGCTTCTCTTCGGCAGCGACTCCCTGACATCCCTTCCCTAGAGTCGTACAACCTGTTTAACATGCCAGCCCCGTTTACGTGGACTCCTACAGTTAGCCTTCCGCCACCACCATTGATGACCTCGGAACCTGCGGTCCATGCTTACTTTTCTCCTATTTTTGGTGGTCCAACATTCACTGCTCAGCCGAGTCCAAGGCAGATTGCTCCTCAACCACCTCTTCACTCTGCCGTTTCCAATGTCTCACAAAACACAGGTTCTATATCTGCCTTGTCATCTCAATTGGCTTTTTCTACGCCAAACGTCACCAATATTGTTACTACTCGTTTATCTGTCGTTGAGGAGACATAGGACGACGAACATCCGTTTCCAATGTCAAGAAGCTCTTATCCCTGCAGAGCAACAGTGGATGTTCGACGAGACCGGCTTCAAAGGCCCGGATGTTTGGAATAAAACATGGTATCCAAAGGCTATTGATCATGTGAACACAGAAAAGCCATGGTATATTGTTGATGCTGCTGAAAAGAAACTGGGAAGATTGGCTTCGACTATAGCTAATTATATTCGAGGAAAGAACCTGGCAACATATACTCCTAGTGTGGATATGGGTGCTTTTGTTGTTGTGGTCAATGCTGAAAAAGTAGCAGTAACTGGAAAGAAGAGGACACAGAAGATTTACAGAAGGCATTCGGGGAGACCGGGTGGTATGAAAGAGGAGACCTTTGACCAACTGCAGAAAAGGATCCCTGAAAGGATCATTGAGCATGCAGTGCGAGGGATGCTTCCCAAAGGAAGGCTGGGCAGACACTTATTTAACCATCTTAAGGTGTATAAAGGAGCAGAGCATCCTCACCAGGCACAGAAACCAATTGATTTGCCGATACGTGACAAGAGGATCAATATGTTGACTTAAGAGCGAATGGATACTGACATTGTATTTTTTATCTTTTTAACAGCGAATGAATGCTGGTTTCTTTGAATCTGCAATAGTTTCAGTTGTAATGCTATGAAAAACACTGCCTGGTCTGACGGGCAGGTGACTAGTCAGCATATCTTTGAGAACAAAATATTTAAGTATGGATAAGATATTATTTTGAAAAAAAAAAAAAAAAAAAAAATCTGTCGTTGAGGATTACTTACCGTGGCGTACCCAATTTGAGTCCTTCTTAGTATCACATAGTCTTCTTGGGATATTGGATGGCTCAATCCGGGTACCAATGGGCACGGATCCAGACTATTGTCATTGGTTGAAAATCGATCAAACGGTTAGGTCTTGGATTTTTGCTACTCTTGTTAGAGATATTTTGATGGAGGTGTATTACTTGAAATTTTCTCATCTCATTTGGGAGCGTCTAGAGACCCGTTTTATGTCTGCTTGTTTTGCCCGGTCTATTGAACTTAAGAGGTCTTTGTCACATATTAAAAAGAAAGATTCACAGACCATGGATCAATATCAGTTGGAAATTAAGTTGATTGCTGATGCACTTGCTATGATTAATTCTCCTGTTAGTAACCGTGACTTGATGGAATATGCTATTTTGGGTCTGGGGCGTGAATATGAATTTCTTATCACAACCATATCCTATTTTCCTGGGAATGCTACGTTGGACTCTTTGAGGCCGATTCTTCAGGCACAAGAGCATCGGTCCGCTACTGTACAGTCTCAAGACCAGTCCATTGTTCATCAAACTTTCGCGGCAGCTCCAGCACCCCACGACCGAGGGCCTGCTCCACGAGGATATGGTGTCGTGGCACCTCGGGGCAACGGCGGTCGCGGCAACCGAGGTGGCAGACCTCGGGGTGGTTGCGGCAGGGGTGGCCGAGGACAGCATCAGCAGTTTCAGTAGCCATTTGGAGGCTATCCGGCGTATGGAGTTCCCTACGGACAGCCGGCTCCTCCACGCGGACATCCATATCCTGGTGGTGCAGGTTTGGCATTTAGTAATATCAGTTCTGGTTTTGGTTTTACTAATCACATTTCTACTTGTGGTACTCATAATGTTAGTGCAGGTTTTCCATCTGTTGAGAACTTCTATCCCTCTCCTGCTCCGCCAGTTGTATGTCAGCTTTGTTTCTCTCCAGGTCATTCTGCCATCACTTGCTCCCGTTTCACATCACAAAATACTCCTGCTCTTGCGGCTCTTCCCACTGGTGAGACACATGATTCGGTCTGGTATCCTGACTCTGGGGCTTCTGCACACATGACTCCACATGAAGGTATTTTATCTTCTAAATTTTCTTACACTGGCCCGAATCAAGTTTGTGTTGCTAATGGTACTAAATTACCCATATCTCATATTGGTCACGTTAAATTACTCACATCTGGCCGCCCGCTATATTTAAACTATGTTTATCATGTCCCACATATTAAATATAATTTATTCTCTATACAAAAACTATGTGCGGACAATGCATGCGAAGTGATTTTTAATAAAAATTCTTTTTGTGTTAAGGACAATCAAACGGGGGAGCTTCTTCTTCAGGCCACTAATAAAGATCATGTCTACCCTTTTACTGCCCTTCAAGCCCGAGTTGTACCTGGTCCTGTCTGGCACAAGCGTCTAGGACATTGTGGTGATAGAGTTATGTGTACTCTTAGGCAAAATAAGTTAATTAGTAGTTCTTCAAATTTTGCTCATGACTGTATTTCTTGTAAGTTGGGTAAATCCCATAGACTTCCGTTTTATGATGTTATTCATGATACCTCTGCACCTTTGGAAATTATTCATTCTGATGTTTGGCAGTCTCCAGTTGTTGCTAATCTGGGTTTTAAATATTATGTGTCTTTTATTGATGATTTCTCTAGGTTTACATGGGTTTATCCCATGCGTAGGAAATCTGAAGTTTTTACACATTTGATTCATTTTCAAAAACTGGTTGAATATCTCTTGAATGCCAAAATTAAAATTTTTCAAAGTGATGGAGGGGGTGAATTTGATAACTCTCTGTTTAACACGCATTTTTTAAATTCGGGCATTTTATTTAGAAAATCTTGTCCTCATACCCCTGCTCAAAATGGGGTAGCTGAACGCAAACATAAACATTTACTTGAATTAGCTAGGACTTTATTAATTGATGCTTCTATTCCTAGTAATTTTTGGGTAGATGTTCTCTACACCGCCACCTTTATCGTTAATCGTTTACCTACCCCCATTTTGCATGGAGTATCTCCATATCAAAAATTATTTAATAAAGTGCCTGATTATAATTTTATGCGTGTATTTGGTTGCTCTTGTTTTCCTAATTTCATTGCGGCCTCCCACAATAAACTATCACCGCGTTCTATACATTGTGTCTTTCTTGAATTGGGTATGCTCCGGGTTATAAAGGGTATCGTTGCTTATCTCCTTCCACAGGCCGGGTGTTTATTAGTCGAGATGTAAATTTTCATGAAAATGTTTTTCCCTATAATTCTTTAATACCCACATCTTCTTCCCCGACATCTACCCTGCCTTCCTCTTGGCTTTCATCCTCCGTATCTGATGCTGTTACTTTTCCCTCCACCTTACCCATGTTGCCAGCCACACAAACTGCCTCACCCACAACCTGCAGCACCCCAAATCAGTCCACTCCTCTGCCCTACCAACACCGAACCAGTCCCCTAAGTGCCACCCACCTCCAACAAACTCCCTTGGTCACCATCCTTCTTCTCCCAGTAGCCCAACCACGTCCACAGACCATACCTCTCTCCCTGATCATCTCGACAGCCCCATCGCACCACCCACTGTTTCCTCTCACGTCTCACAAACCAGTCCCCATAGCTACCCCAATTCCCAGTCCTCGGCTTCAGCTCTCCCGACCCCACCGGCCCCAATAAATGTACATCCGATGCGTACACGCGCAAAGGATGGCATTTTTAAGCCTAAGAATATTTTTAATTTGAGTGTCTTATCTCCCCCGGATGATCCTACTTGTTTTACTCAAGCAAATAAGAGTTTTATTTAGCGGGCTGCCATGGCGGATGAATTTAATGCTTTGATTAATAATAAGACTTGGGATTTGGTACCTTGGGACCCTACTAAAAATGTGGTTGGTTGTAAGTGGATTTATAAGACCAAATACTGTTCTGATGGATCTGTTGAACGACATAAAGCCCGTTTAGTCGCTCAAGGTTTTAAACAACAGGCTGGTGTGGACTTTACTGAAACTTTTAGTCCTGTTGTTAAGCCTACCAATGCTCGTCTTGTTTTATCTATTGTCGTTTCTTTGGGCTGGTCTGTTCGTCAATTAGATGTGAAAAATGCATTTTTGCATGGTGTTTTAACTGAGGAGGTTTACATGCGCCAACCTCAGGGGTTTATTCATCCTTCCTATCCTAATCATGTGTGTCGCCTTCACAAGGCTCTTTATGGTTTGAAACAAGCTCCTCGGGCTTGGTTTCATCGATTCAGTGGTTTTCTGTTGAGTCGTGGTTTTTCACAGAGCAGGTCTGATTCATCCATGTTTGTTTATCGTACTGATTCTCAGGTGGTTTATATTCTTTTATATGTGGATGATATTATTATTACAGGCTTTCTGCTTCCTTTGTTTCCTCTGTCATAAAAACCTTATCTAATCAATTTGCAATGAAGGATTTAGGGGATGTTCATTATTTTCTAGGTGTTCAGGCTAAGCGTACACCTATAGGTTTATTTTTGTCTCAAGCAAAATATATATCTGATCTTTTACGTCGCTTTCATCTTCATACTGTCAAACCTGTTCGTACTCCCCTACCTTCACGCACTACACTCTCTCTCACAGATGGGGAACTGTTATCTGATGTTACTGAGTATCGGAGTATGGTAGGTGCTCTTCAGTATTTAACTATTACTAGACCTGATATTACTTATGTTGTACACCTTGTGTCTCAGTTTATGCATGCTCCACGTACTACTCACCTCTTCGCAGTTAAGAGAATTTACAGGTATCTGCAGGGTACCAGCACTCATGGCTTATGGTTACGCGCAGATAAAAATATTTCTGTTATTACGGCTTATTCTGACGCAGATTGGGCAGACTGTCCCGACAGTTCACGTTCGACTACAGGTTATGCGGTTTTTCTCGGCTCCATTTAATCTCCTGGCGCTCTAAGAAACAACCGACGGTGTCAAGTCTTCAACTGAGGCCGAATACAGGGCTATTGCGTACACTGTTCAGGACACACTTTTCATCCGCTCACTTCTGACAGATATGGGTATTTTTATTTCGGCTCCGGTACAACTTCTTTGTGACAATGTTTTTGCTTCGTATCTGGCGGTTAATCCCATTCAGCATGATCGGAGTAAGCACATTAAAATTGATTATCATTTTGTTCGTGAGCGAGTAGCACATGGAGATCTTGTGGTGAAGCATATTCCTACACAATTGCAGTTAGCTGATATCTTCACCAAGAATTTATCCAGTCAGCGTTTTGAATTTTTAAGATCCAATTTGCACGTGATTTTTCCTGCACAAATTGAGGGGTGTAATAATGTAATATTTAGGGATTACTTTGTAATTCTCCATAACTCTGTTTTATTATAAATACAAGCCTAAGGCACCCAAGAGGGCAAGTCATTATTTCCCAAAATTATTCTTTTGTATATTACGTACTGGTCGTATGTTCTATTTTTAAAAATGTTACCAAGCATCTTGCAAAAAAAAATGTTACCAAGCAAATGATTCGGCTACATACCAAGGTCTCAGTTGGTTACCAAACAATGTGGCGTGTCGCACAAACCTATAAATGGAATTTGAAAGGCAAAGAGATTAGAGATGCCTTGCTTCTTTTTTTTTCTTCAAAAAAGACAAAAGAAAAAGAAGGGAGGAAAAAAATGCCTTGTTGTTTCATACACAATCATTATATACGAGTATGTCGTTGCCGTAGTAGAAATTAAACATTCTGCAATCTGGTCCGCGGCTTGTTATGACATTGCTATTTGCTAATAGTTTTAATAAAAGTAATTGTCCGAGTTAAATCTTCTAGTTGATTAGTGCTCTCGCCATATCCAAACTATCGTCTCCTTTCCTTGGGTGGTATCAAATCAAATGTCTCATTTTCTTTTTTGAAATAAATCTATCCTAGAAACCGCTA